GTTTTCTTGACTTGTTAGCTTGAATTTTGTTGTGACGATGATATTTCGCTCTGATGATGTTCGTCATTTGACAGACGAAAGCTTGGCACCTTTTTACCGGAATCGAAGGAGATTGCCTCGGAAACAGCGTCAGCATGAATCTTCCAGTAAAACCAATCGACAGCTATCTAGAGGAATCCGCCATCGTGTTCTAGTGGAATCGACCTTCGAATCTCTTCACCCAACACCTTCACCCGAAATGGAAGTAAGCTCAACAAAGTAATTCTGTTTTCGGCCATCAACGTTTGATGACCACTATCCCCCTCTCTATCTACCTATTTCAACCACTCCGAGTGCTCAAGGTTGAACACATGTTAGGTTTTGCTGGTGAACCTATTTTTTGTTTTTTGCCTTTCTGCGAGAGAGAAAGAGTGAGCTGAAAGTACAGAAAACACTAGTTACGTCGCCTCCTATTCGCAGGCGACTCAATTCCCTCTCTATCTTTGAGTCTATTAATTAAGCGCAAATAATTTTTATCTGATCTTCTTGCCGGTATTTCTTATATTCAATGTATTTCCTATTTGGTTTATTTCGATGGCTTGTCTAATTTTACGTTTAGCCGCAAACACGCCATAATCAGCAATACGAGAAGTTTAAGACCATTCAAGCTCGTGTCCAGTTTCTTGTCTGTGCTCGGCCAGCTCCTAATTTTGAACCCAACAGCCTTTGCAGGGGCTTTTGTGCTCAGCCACCCTTTGTCGAATGGGACGACAAGTCTCTCCAACCCAAAAGTGACCACATGAACACACATACTTTTGTAGCAACCAGACTTTATCTCTAAAAGTGGACACAAGAGACTCCTCTCAACGCAAATGTTCTTCGCATTTCCTTTTTCTCTCCACCAGACGAGACTCCAAAAGTCGCCTCGTCTACCTCAAGTCAATTGCCCTCCGTTTGCCGACTGAGCACCGCGTGAACGCCGCCTATCTGCTCCACTTCCTGGCCCGGCTGGCCAGTTACGCCGGCCACAATCGCATGACGCCAGTCAATCTGGGCATCGTGTTTGGGCCCAATCTCCTCGCCCCTGGCGCTGCCAATCCCCTCAACGCCGGTCTCACTTCCCCCGGCCTGGCCGGGAATTCGCCCATCGTCAGCAAACGAACGGCCCACTCTCTGCTCGTCTCGCCGTCGCCGTCGCCGTCGCCAACGTCGCCGTTACCGTTGCCGGCCCGGCTGGCGTCCTCTCAGACTGGGTTCACATCAACCACCACGTCCAGCAACACCGGCTGTGGAGCCAATGCGTCTGGCAAGTCGGCTGGTGCCTCTCGACGGGCTCCTTCCGACGCCACAGCGTCCGCGAGGAGGGCCAGTTCGAAACCTTCGGTCTGCGAGGCGTCTGAAGAGGCGGCCAAGCCGTTTGAGCCTGGCCTAGGCGGCAACCCAGACAGATCAAAGCTCGGGGTTGGGGCCGACGATCTCTGCGCCAGTGACATGTACATGACCTGCCATAATCTCATTACTATTTCTAGTATTTTTCGTATTTAAGTAGAGTTTCGAGACTATCAGTAAATCAGTAAAATGAGATGTATTCACTCGATTTCGTTTTAGGTGATGAAGGACCGGCAGTAGAATTTTCCTACAATCATATGAGTTGAGCTGACGTTTCCATTCAATTTCACATTATTATAACAAAACTAAGTTTGCTCCATCGACAATCCCACCAAAGAACGTGATATTGCAAAGGTCTGCCCTCTGACCCAAGGGCACTGGTGGCAATGTGGTCGAGTGGTTAGTGTGTTAAGTTCACATGCTGAACTGTCACGATTCGAGTCACGCTGGGGTGTTGCTAAGACTTATGCGAGGTTGAAACTGCAGTCCAACTTTTGTCAAAACAAGGCTTTGTGACATTCAATGGGAACGTCGGCTCTACTTAAATGATTGTGGGAAAATTCTACTACCAGTCCTTCATCACCTTAAACGAAATAGGGTGAATTCATCTCATATTACTGTTTACTATCCTAACCACAAGCAGATTTAAAGTCGAATCAGTTAAATAGGAAATATCACAACTGGAATTGTCTCTTCAATTGTGGATTCAACCAAACTAGGTGAAAAGCCTATTCGGCATAAGCAACTTGTTTCTCGATTTTATGCTCTTGGACGTGTGAAAGTTTGCAACTCAGTTAACGTCTAAGATATGAAGAAAAATTGACTTTCAAAGAATACCTTAGTGATATATTGTGACATGACTTGGTCATGTCACCAGGGCTAACTAATTTGGCGCTCCTTGTCCGAAGTCTCAGCGTAGCAAGCCCACTGTCTAAAGCTGTAAATTAATATAACCACTATAACGGAGGACTTCGGACAAGGAGCCCCTGCTAGATCGCCCAGAAAACACGACAAAGTTGTGAAAACGAGGTATGACCACTCGTAAACTTGGTTTTCGAGACTATCAATAGATCTGATATAAGAAGTGCATTCATCCTTTTATGTTTAAGGTAATGCAGGAATGGTAGTTGAATTTTTCTCCAATCGCATGAGTAGGTCCCATGTTTCCATTG